TCAGTGAATTCCTCTATGCCTGAATTTAAGGAAAACCATCTATATCGTATGCCCTAGATACAAAGAAAGATACAATGAAAGAAAATATAATCTGACCACATAAAAGAAGGATGCCATGCCTGGTGGTACATTCCTGTAATCCCATCAACTCAGGAGGCTGAGGTAGGAGGATTGTAAATTTGAGGCCAGTATTAGAAACTTAGCAAGGCCCTGACCCAAAATAAATTTTAAAAATTGGGGATATAGCTCAGTGGTATAGCACCCCTAGGTTCAACCCCCAGTGCCAAAAAAAAAAAGGATTTTACATGACCAAAAATACTTTAAAAAAGTCAAGCTGGGCATGGTGCCGCACACCTGTAATCCCAGAGGCTGGGGAAGCTGAGACAGGAGGATCATGAGTTCAAAGCCAGTCTCAGGAAAAAGCGAGGCACTAAGCAACTCAGTGAGACTGTGTCTCTAAATAAAATTCAAAATAGGGCTGGGGAGGTGGCTCAGTGGTCAACTGCCCGAGTTAAATCCCCAATACCAAAAAAAAAAAAAGTCAAAAGAATTGAAAAACCAGACTGGGGCTGGGGCTCAGTGGTAGAGCGCTTGCCTAGCACGTGCGAGGCCCTGGGTTCGATCCTCAACACCACATATGAATAAATAAAGATATTTTTTAAAAAAATAAGAATTGAAAAACCATAATAATTGCCTTATGCATCATAGTTAAAGGGCTAACATCCCTTACAAATAACTCTTGAAAACTCAATGAGAGGCTGGGGTTGTGCTCAGTGGTAGAGCATTTGCCTAGCATGTGTGAGGCAATGGGTTCGATTCCCGTCACCACCTAAAAAAATAAATAAATAAATAAAATAAGGGTACTGTGTCCATCTATAACTAAAAAATAAGGAAATTAAAAAATTTTTAAAAACTCAAGAAAAAAAGACCAAAAACCCAAAAGACATTAGCAGAAAATTCACACAAACACATACTTACACAATACACAGTCCTTAAACGTAAAGATATTCTAATTCAGTTGTGATGAAAATAAAATTGAAAATTAAAACTATCCTAAAATACCACTTCTCATTTATCAGATTAGCAAACATTTAAAACTATCACAGCACATACTATTGGTGACACTGTGGGAAAACAAGACTTTCACAAAACTGACAGGAATTCAACAATTTCTAACAAAACTACAAACATACTTACCTCTGATCCAGAAAATTGATTTTGGGGACTTTCCCATGGAGGATTACACCCAGCAATTAAAAATATTCATGTGCTAGTTAATTCACAAAAGCTCTTTGGCAACTGCAAAAATAATGGCTGTATTTTAACTGTATCTACCTAGGCAGTGGCTAAACAAACTTCAACATAAGCACATGATAGGGTACTAGCAACTATAAAAGTAAGATCTACATTCTGATGTGGATTTCCAATACACATCTGCAAAAAAAAAAAAAAAGGAAGCAAAGTGTAAAGAACAGTCATATTTGCCACATGACGCTGCTCATTCATCTAAAACAAAACATGGGAGAATAAGACACGAATACTAGTTATACAGAGGAGAAGGTAGAAACAAAACACATGGAAAATGGGGGAGTGATACTTCTCTGGGTGCACCTTCTAATATAGTGGTATTTTCTGAAACCATGTTAATGTTTCAAGTACTAAAATAATGAAACAAAAATCAAAAAGTTTAGCAGCATAAAAAATGAAATATAAACAGAAAATATAAACAGAAATAATGAACTTAACTCTTTCTAAATGAAGAAACTAACAACATTGAAAAAACAGGTGAGGACCAGGTACAGAATTGTATATCCTTAGGGTACAGATTAAAAGAGCTATAAAAACTATTTAAAGGTCAGGAGTGCAGTTCAGTGGTAGAATGGTTGCTGGTTCCTGGGCTCCAACCCTGGCATGGGGACGGGGGGCAGGGGGGCAGGGGGGAGTCTAATTTGTAAGTTTGTTTTTCATAGTGATATATATTAGCAATTCTGAAACTGCTGTCTATATTCTATAATTATGCAAGTAAATATACTGTGGAGTAGGGGAGGCTTCTCATTATTGGAGAAAGAAGTTACAGGTCACAATTTGAATTCGTCAAGAACATAAAAAGTTATCTTAAAAAGCACAATTGTCCAATAACTCCATAACTCACCCACAGAAACCAGTAACTTCAAACTTTCAACTTCCCAATTCCTGCCATTCCCTAGGCACACTTCATCTTTAAATTATTTTGTATAAACTTAACACCAAAGTTTTCTGGAAGTATTTGACTTTTTCATCTGAAATCACTGTCTGCTATTAAAAGCAGAGATCGATAACACACCTTCAGATTTAAAATCATATATTATGCTTTCTTTAAAAAATTCACTACTTTCATTTTCTATATCTAAATTAAAGCATTGATTAAACTGTTCAAGGAATGAGTAGTTAAACTAAGGTTAACCCAGAAACTCACTTAGTTTAAGCACTTTGAAAAATAAATTTTTGGGCTGGGGACATAGCTCAGTTAATAGAGTACTTGCCTTGCATGCACAAGGCCCTGGGTTCAATCCCCAGCACCACAAAACAAACAAACAAATATCTAAATAATTTTCCAAAAATAATGTAATAGGGCATGAATAATGTAATTTCTCAAAAATATAAGACTCTTCAGTGTGTCTAGATTATTTAGTTATTATAGTTAAATATGAACCACAATATCAATGCAGGAAGGTGAGAACCAGTGATTTTGAATCAATTTTCTTCATACACAGAATGAAGACAGCCCATCAGTTACAAACTTAATAGCAGGTGTGCTGGATTATCTACTGTGGGCTCAAGTTCACCACCTATCCCCTCAATGTCTTCCTTACACTGTCAAGGAAAAGAAAGTGACTACACTTCCCAATCCCCAGAGGTACTGCAGGTAGGTGCCTGGGCAGGGAAGCTTCCAGGTGAGCCCACTGTGCCACAAAGGGAGAGAGCTAAGATTTCCACTGACTACTGAGAAAACAACCAATATACAGCTTCAGGCTGAAATAGCAATGAGGTCAGCCCCTGCACTCCCAGAGGTCATGAGCCTCTCCCTGTGGGAAAACCCTCACCCTCACACTGGGAATTAAGTAGCTTTTTGGATTCTACTGATGCAGCATACCTGAAAGTACTCTATACGTTAAAAAAATAACAATAAACATAAAAAGAACAATGTTATTTCTGTTCCCACTTATAGGAAATTTTGACTGAAACTGCTTTCTGGTAATCAGTCTCTCATTTAGACAAATAAGTGCCTCCAGAATAAATCCTTGCTTCTACATATCAATAAAATAAAACTTTCCTAATGGAAAAAAAAAAACAACAGTTCCTTACCTAACTTTGAAATCCTCAATTAATTGTTCAGTCAATGCATTTTCACTGAGCAAGGGATTAACCAAGACAATCTCCTACAAAAGAGTCCCCTAGAAGAGAGAGTCCTCTACAAGAGTTTCTAAAATGAGCATAACAAAAACATAATACTCATTGTTTCAAATCAAAAAATATATGTGAAACATATGTGAAAAGGGTGAGTTAAATTTGACTTGGGGGAAAAAAGTAAAAATCAAAAAAGAATTCAAGGAAAAGAGAAGTAAGGGTTAATTAATATTATAGAGTAAAAAGAATTCTCAAAGAAAAGATGATGGCATTTTTTTTTTGGCGGGGGGGCGGGGAAGCATGCTCAAATCAACAAAGCTTGCAACTCTGGAGAACAAAGCTACATAAAACAAAGTGGTTTATACACAGAATGTTTAGAAAAAATGGGGAGATTAAGGCCAAATAATAAAAGGTCAGTAAAGTTAAATATCTGGACTTTACTGCTATTATCCAACTTCAGATTCATAGAATTATAATATTTTATGCCTAGATAACAAAATTGGGCTGCTAATATACATCCGATTAGAGCCTAACAGTAAACAGCACTAAGCCAAGAAAAGGAAACCATCTTTTATTTTTTTGTAGTATTGGACATTGAGCCCAGGGCGGCATACTAAGCAAGCACTCTACCACTGAACTACCTCCCCAGTCCTAGATACTAATCCTTTTAAAATACTGCTTTATCCTTTTTTTATCCCAACATTCTCCTGTTCAAAAGTCTTCAATGACTTCTAAACACCTACTTTGACCAAGGCACTCAATACCACAGTTCCTACCCAATTATGGAGTATTTTCTACCACTGATGGCAATGAACAAACTCTTCAAGTACTTTGTTCTCTGTTTCGCCACTGAGTGAGCAAGGCTACCAAATGCAGGAGGAGAGATACCTCATGCATTAGTCTGTCCAGGCTGCAGTAACAAAATGCCATAGATTGGGTATGTTAAATAAAAGAAATTTATTTTCTTAGTTTTACAGGACAGAATTCCAAGATCCAGATGCCAAGGCTCTCTTCTGTCTTGTGAACAGCAGCCTTTTCTCCATATCCTTACATAGCCTCCTCTGAGGACATAGAGAATGCTCTCTCTCTTCCTCTTCTTTACAAGGCCATCAGCCCTATCAGATTAAGGTCCAAACATTACAACCTCAAATAACTTGACCTTCACAAAAGCTATATCTCCAAAGACAGTCACAATAGAAGGTGGAACGTCAGTAAATGATTTCTGGAGGACACAAATATTCAGGCCATAAAATATCATATCATTTCTGAGGTTAGACCTAACTAGATTCTATGGATTCAGCTATTACACTCTTGAATGTGCCCACTATAACAGGAAAAAGCCCAACTAGCCTACTAGAGAATGAGAAGCTACACACATCCCGACCAAGAGCCAGAACCAAATGCCAGGTATACAGTAGAGTTACACCAGACCACCCAGTTCCAATCAAGCCATCAGATGCTGTCCTTGTCATCAGATAATGACAACTGCATGAGTGGCTCCAGGTGAGACAAGCAGAAGAACTGCCAGCTGAGGTCAGTTAAAATTGTAAAAATAATGAAAATAAATGAGAGTTGCTTAAAGTCATTGATTTGGGAACAGCAATAAAATATACCTTCTTGTTCTGCTTTTTGATCTAGATCTCTGGATTCTGTAAGATTTCCCTCGACCCCTTGAACGACTTCTACTTCGTTTTCTTCTAGAGCCGTAAGAAGAGCTACTGCTTGACCGATGTCTGCGTCTGAAATAAAGTCAAATATCATCCCTATAAAAAGTATTTGTTATAGGAATTAGAGAGAAATCTAGATTCTAAAGGGTCATCTCATCTTTACTGTCTCCCTCTGTCCCTGAAGCAAATAAATTAAAAGGTACTTCTCTTGTACAGTCAGATGACTGGTTCAAAATGGAGGAATCTGATAAGCTACTAACTAAGGCATTATGGGTTGTAAGTAGCAAACTGTCTTTCCAAATATCAGATAATAAGGTACATGGACTATATCTACTTGCCCATAAAGATTTAGGAAGAGGGCTCGGTCGTGGCTCAGTGGTACAGTGCTCACCTAGCATGCAAGGCACTGGGTTAGATCCTTAGCACCACATAAATCTAAAATAAAGACATTGTGTCCACCTAAAACTAAAAAGTAAATTTTTTTTTTTTTTTAAAAAGAATATAGGAAGAACAGGAAAGCCAGAGACACTATTAGAGCTGATTTTAAAAAACCTTTTGAGTTATGATTTCACCCTCATAAATATGTAACTATTAAAAGAAAAATATTTTATCCAACAAAATTAAAAATAAACAAACATGAACATTAAGGAATGTCAATCTCGCCAGACACAGTGGCACTGCCTGTAATCTCAGCAATTCAGGATGCTGAGGCAGGAAGATAACAAGTTCAAGGCCAGCCTGAGCAACTCAGCAAGACCCTGTCTCAAAAAAAAAAAAGAAAGGATTAGGGATATAATCAGTGGTAGAGCAGCACCCTTGGGATCAATCCCCAGTACAAAAAAAAAAAAGTTGCCCTCATTACCGTATAAATAAAAATGATGAAAATCACCTTCTATCATAAGAATGTGAACGTGGCTGAAGGTCTCTCGACCATGATCTTGACTTTGATCTTGATTTCCTTCCTCCTTTCTTTCTGCTATAAGTTCTACTGTCTGACGAACTGCTTGAAGATGAACGTCTACGGTGTTTCTTTTTTCTCTTGCTTCTGCTCTCCTCTTCGGTATCTGAAGACCGGCGTCCCATTTCTATAAGCTTAAATTCAAAGAAAATTATTTCTAACATAGGCGCACAATAAGCAAAATTCAACATACAAGTTTTTATACAACTCTTTAAAAATAAAACAAAATTTTTAAACATGTTCTCACTATGTTGCCAAGGCTGGTTCTTGAACTCCTGGGCTCAAGCAATCCTTCTACCTCAGCCTCTTGTGCAGCTGGGACTACAGGCTTGTGCCATGAATACTTTATTAAAAAAAAAAAAATTGGTACCTGGGATTAAATCCAGGGGTGTTTAGCCACATCCCTAGTCCTTTTTTTTAACTTTGAGATGGGGATTTGCTAAGTTTCTTAGGCTGGCCTTAAATTTGCAGGCCTAAGGCCTCAGTCTCACAAGATGCTAGGATTACAGATGTGCATCACCTTACTCCACCTACTTTGTAAAAAATTTTAAAGACATATTTGAGAAAAAATTTTAAATGTGCATGGCTTCTTAACAAGACACAAGAAAAATGTCTAATATAATCTTCTAGGACATCAATGAACTCCTTTTATAATTTTCAAACAATTCAAATCTGCTACTTGTCAGCTTTTTTGCTGCTGTGACTTAAAAACCCAACCAGAACAATTGTAGAGGAGGAAAAGTTTATTTAAGGGCTCACAGTGTTAGAGGTCTCAGTTAATATACAGCCAGCTCCATCACAGGCAGAAGAGTTTGGCAGAGGGAAGCAGCTCACATGATGATCAAGAAGCAGAGAGATTGTCACTTGCCAGATACAAATATATAACCCAAAGCCATACATGTAATATCCCACGTGCTCTATCCACACCCCACCTACCTTCAGTTACTGCTCAATTAATCCCATCAGGTGATTAATTCACTGTTCAGGTAAAAGCTCTTGTAACCCACTCAGTTCTCTGAATCTTCTTGCATTGTCTCCCAGGTGAGCTCTTGGGGGATACCTCACATCCAAACCATAACACCACTAGATGGGCATGGTGGTACATGCCTGCAATCTCAACAACTGGGGAGGCTGAGGCAGGAGTACCACAAGTTCGAGGCCAGCCTCAGCAACTTAACAAGACTCTATCTCCAAATAAAAAATAGTGAGCTGGGGTTGAGACTCAGAGGTAGAGGGTGCGCCTAGCATGCATGAGGCACCGCGTTCAATCTTCAGCACCACATAAAGTAAAATAAAGACATTGTGTCCACCTATAACTAAAAACTACATATTTTTTTTTAAATTGTCTTTAAAATAAATAAATAATTAGATCTGGAGATGTAGATCAGAGGTAAAGCACCCCTAGTTCAAACCCCCATATCAAATAAATAAATAAATTTTCCTCATATTTTTTTCTAATGTTTCTCAAGAGTCAATCCTGAAAACAGTTCATTATATCAATTTTATGATATTGTAAGTTGCATTTATCATTAAATATGACATTGTTTGGTAACTGACCACCTACTCCCTACTTTTTGCCTTCCCTGAAGACAAGATACTTGAGTACCTTACAGTCAAATTTTTTTTTGAGAATTCTACATTTTTAAATGGACCTCATCAGTCTTCAATAATGCACTGTAATCAATTCACTTGTGAAATCTGAGGAAATTTTAACTGATGTGCCAAAGCTGGTGAAATTATTGTGAAGTCAATCAACTCTTCACATATTGCTAGTATATAGATAGAGCAGTGTTATAAATCCTTCAGGAAGTTATTAAACAATTTATAAAAAGCCTTTAAAATGTTAGTGGCTGTTTGATAGCCAGCCGAATTGTACTTTTGAAATATATTTGGAAGATATTTTAGAGAATGATATATTCATAAAGATTTGCATTATTTCATCTGTGTGGACTATAAGAAAGTGTACATATGAATAAGAATAAAAATTGGTAATATTTAAGTGATGAAATATAATGTTTCATGTTTTTCTTTTTTGAAATCTATTTCTATACAGTTAATGTTTATATATTTAGTATATAGAGAAAAAACAAAATTAGAACCTAAAATTTTGTATTTAGTAATTAACTCAGCTAATGAGTAGTTTACCTGTCTTAATTTAAATCTCTAGCAGGATCCAGACAGGCGCAGTGGTGCATGCCTATAATCCCACAAGGAGAATGGCAAGTTCAAAGCCATCCTCCGCAACTTAAGAGAGACCCTGTCCCAAAAATAAAAAGGGCTGAGAATATGTTTCAGTCATTAAGCACCCCTGGTTTAAAAAAAAAAAAAAAGCAGGATCCATATATGTAATGGTTTAGATCAGATAAACAAAAGCTCACATCTTCCTTCAATATGTATTCAAAATAAGTTAAATGTCATTACTTTAAACAACAAAGTAAAGTATTAAATTACTACTTGTTCTCAAGATCATCAGAGGAGCCAGCCCTCCATGATCCCAATGCAATACTAATAGAAATACTTGTTAGGACTAATTCAAAACTTTAAGCTATTTACCTTGAGCCACAATTAAGAATTTTATATGGGGGCTGGGATGTGGCTCAAGCGGTAGCACGCTCGCCTGGCATGCATGCGGCCCGGGTTCGATCCTCAGCACCACATACAAACAAAGATGTTGTGTCCGCCAAATACTAAAAAAATAAATATTAAAAAATTCTCTCTCTCTCTACCTCTCTCTCACTCTCTCTTTAAAAAAAAAAAGAATTTTATATGTAGCTCTGAACCTCAAGTTAGCTGAGGTCTTACTGTTTACAATTTAACAAAACATTGAGAAAACTTGATTTTAAAATTTTTAGTCACTAATAAGCCCGTTTCCTCGCTGAAACATGAAACTGATTTCAGTAAGAGATCACTGTAATCCTTTCCAGCTCTAAAATGACATGATTATGAAATTAGACATATGTAGAATGTAAATAGGTACATACATTCATAAATATGTAGACATTCATAAATATGTACAGACATTCATAAAGTATATACCTACTTTTTTCTTTTTTACTAAGAAACCCAGGGACACCTTATCACTGAGCTACATCTCCACACCTCCAGTCCTTTTTTTTTTTCTTCTTCTTTTCTTTTTTGAGACAAGGTCTTACTAAGTTGTTGAGAATCTCACTAACTTGCTAAGGCTGGTCTAGAACATGCAATCCTCCTGCCTCAGCCTCTAAGTCCCTGGCATTACAGGCATGAGCCACCATACCCAGCTAGCATATATCTACATATATTTAAACATGTGTACATATCCATTTATACATAATATATATCCATATATACATTACACATGATATCTACATACCCATGTATGTATGTACATATTTTCAAATATCAGTCATTATTATTACCACCACTGAGAGGTTATAGTAATCTAAGTTTTCTTATTTCTTGGCTTTACCTTTCTTTTTTTGTGTTTTCACCTTTAGGAACTCAAGAACTTTCTTTACCCATGAATAACTGTTTAAATTAAGGTAACTTTGCATTACCTTCTTACAATCTTGTTTTAAAAAATAACTGGAATAAGACTAAAGAAATTAAAAAGTACAAATTCACAAGGATAAAGAGACTAGAAGAGAAAACAACAGGAACAGTAGACAAGACGTGTCAACAAATTTTTAGCAAATGAAAAACAGATGGAGGATTGAGAGTTAAGAAAGCTGAATACCAAGCAACTGCAGAGAATTCCAACAAGAAAAAAGCCAATTCACATAGCAAGATTTAGAAAGAATGGGAATTTGAGACACCATATACCCCAACAGGCACAATGAGTCATTAAGCTAAAAACAGGGGAACTGACTCAACTTCTGTAAAAGAAATAGCTCCCTAGATTTCCTCCCTTTTCTACCCAGCCAGGTGACTGCTCTTCCCCCAAACTCCAGCAGTTGAGGACAGTTTTGTTTATTTGTTTTTTGTTTCTTTGTTTTTTGAAGGAGGCCAATGTAGCAACAGGTTCAAGGGCTCAGTAAAAAGGTCAGAATGATGCCAAACTAAAAAAGTTATACTCAGGAAAGCCTGCACCTGATGGGAAAAGCCACAGCCCTCTGCAGCCTGGATGAGAACCCTGAAGCTAGGGCATCCTGGGAGCAAAACTAGAGCATTCTTTTCTGCAAAAACTCAGCAATCCCTAACTCAAGATACATAAGTGCATAAGGAAGAAAATACCCCAGAAGAAAATACCAAGCCCTAATTCAATAACTCTATAACACAGCCCACAGATACAAAGTCCAAACCTTAAGATTTTTCTGTAAACTCTTTTTCTGTAACTTTTTAGTGAATATACAACAAAAGAGAACCATACAAGTAAGGAAAACCATTATTATAAAAGACAAAGGCTGGCAGTATAGCTTGATGATAGAAAGTATAAGTAGTTTGTACAAGGCCCAGGGTTCAATCCCCAGCACCAAAAATAAAAAATAAATAAAAGACAAAAAACAAGCTGAGCAAAAACTAGATTATAGGATAAACCTATAATCGCAGTGGTTAGTGGTTCTGGAAGCTGAGGCAGGAGGATTGCACGTTCAAAGCCAGCCTCAGAAACTTAGCAAGACCCTGTCTCAAAATAAAAAATAAAAAGGGCTTGGGATGTGGCTCAGTGGTTAAGCAACAATAGGTTTAATCCCCAGTACCAAAAAAAAAAGGAGGAAGAAGAAATGAAAATAGAAGACTGTGAAGAAAAAAAAAAACTTAAAGAACAAAAATTACAATCAATATCCTCAGAAACATATAAGATGACCCTGTGAACAAGAATAGGCAGAAGGCAGACCATTCACAGAACACTTGACTTAAATGATAAACAAAGGGGGGGTCAATCTGTGAGGTCCAATACCTAACTGATATTCAGTCCATAAAAAATAACAGGGAAAAGAGACTATCCAAAAACTAAATCCATAGAATTTCCAGAACTGAAAGATATGCACTGCCCTAAGTCCCTGAAACAATGAATTTTTCAAAAAGACATACACAAGGCATATCTTATAAAAAATTCATATACCAGGCTGTATGTGGCTCAGTGGTAGAGGGCTTGTTTAGTATGCATGAGGCCCTGGGTTCACTCTCCAGCACCACATAAAGAAAAAGAAAATTC